GACTTTAAGCAGATCTTTCCGCTTCTTTGAGACTTCCTGTATGTTATTCACATCTTCCTCATCAAGGACAAGCGAAAATATAGCATTTGTATCCTGGATATGTTCTGCTAATCCAAGTCTAACACCGATCATCGAGCCTGCCACTGCTGGCTGAATTCCACCAAGCAAACCAAAAAAAAAAAAGCATTCTTTTTCAACGACCAAAAGAAAAACTCTGAAATACATGAATCGCAGTGGACTTTACCTGATCCAGTATATATTTCACAGCAACTGTGGGAATTGAGGCCCCGTGTTTGGTAGCTATTCTCTTGAGTGTCTGAAGCAAAGCTTGGAACAAGCTCCATCCTCCCCATGCATCAACCATCTGCAAATTCATTTAAACAGTCAGAAGATCTGACAAGATTTTGCTCACTGTTCGTACATTTGAATTCCCATTATCAGAGATGATGTGTGAAATTGAAGATTGCAAAACTGCTTAAAAACATTTAGAACAGTAATAAATAGATGTGAAATGACAATTATGTCCAGTGCATGTATTCTTAGAATGCATGGCATTTTCCCACTTGATTCTCTATATATTTCCAGGAGATGATAGTACAACCAAGTCAGAAGGATTATTTCCCTGCAGTGGAACTGCTCCTTTCTTAAATTAATTGCTTATACAACAGTTACTCAGCTTTAACTTCCAAACAAAGTCTCGTGCTTTGAAGCAATTTTGACATGTTTTTCAATTTAAAAAAAAAATAAAAAGAAAATGCCTCTAAAACTAATGGCATACCCTTTTGTACTTCTGGAGAGATGGAGTGTTCAATGGCGGGCCAGCAAAAGGAATGTTTAAGTTGGTGTCGAGGAACTTCTCTGACAACAAACCACCCATTACGGTTCCATACCTGAATTCAGAACTCCAATCAACTTCAACACTTGGACATAAGAGTGCTCAGCTTTCCAGAATAAGAAACATTTAAGATTTAAAATCAAGATGAAAAACAAAACTTCATCTCTTTAGTGAGTCATAATCAAGAAGCCATATCAATGAGCTTTCTGGTAAGCAATTCAAAAGCTAGGAATTTTAAGAAATAAAAACTTTTTTCTTTTTTTATTTTCTCCTTAATTTGTGTTTGGCAAAAATCTATTATATTCTCATTGTATTTCTATACCTTCATTATTTAATATATAGAAGTAGCCATAACTTACACATTTTTTAAACTAAAAAGAGAAAATAGTATTTATAAGGAACCAAAAGGATGCAACCTATATATAAAAATTGTTGTAAATCTAAAACATCAATAAGGTCCCAAAAGTCCTCATAAGCATATCAAAGAGGACCCTTAAGCAAACACCCAAGGTATGGAATCATAAGTCCTTAAATCTACCAAAAGTACCTACAACCTCAAAGTCCTAGTTTTTTCCTTTGAAATCGCCCATAAAGTAGCCAAGGGGTCTTGTTACAGTGCTTCTCTCCTTGGATACCTCCCATGCCAATAGCTCATCTTTCATAGAACTATCCATCAGTCAACTCCCCCTCCCACAAAAGACCATAAGTTATCATCCATAGCTAGTATGGAGAGGGGCATCAAAGGAGAAGATGATTGTCAGACTCCACCATTCTCTTGCAAAAATAGCAGCTCTTCATAACAATTTCCCCCTTCTAATCAAACCGTCTAGGATCAGAATATCCTTGCCACTTCCCATGCAAAAAAAATCACTCTAGGAGATGCATTAATCTTCCCTATAATTTCCAGGGAAACTTTCCATTAATTTATAAGGTAATTCCCAAATTAGTCTCCAATGTTTGTCACTTGCTACAATTTAGTGTCTAATGTTCTTTTCATCACAATTTGATCTCTAACATTTTCTATTTGTTTCAAATGTTCAGTTTGCTTCTACTTATTAATTGAAAAAACAAGAATGATTAGGTTATGTTTGGATGCTTTAAAAAATAACTAAAAAAAATGACTTCAGCTAATTAATTAAATTAATAAATCAATGACAATAAAAAATAGATATAATATCATTATTAATTTATTAATTTACTAATTTAATTAATCAGTTAAAGTCATTCTTTTGGGCTCTTTTTAAAGCTTCTAAACAAAATTTAATTTTTTTAACTTTTTCTGTTAGAAAATATAAAGAAACGGGGCATTTGAAACAAACAGAAAACATTAGGGATCAAATTGTAATACAAAAATATCAAGGACCAAATTGTAACAAGTGTCAAACATTAATAACTATTTTAGTAATTTACCTTAATTTATATCACACTTAGCCAAATGAAAGTAATAAGATTTTACCAAAAATGTCTCTTTCGAATTTAACTTTCAGAATGGCTTGTCCAAGGCCTGATGCAACCTCACACACTAGAAAAGAAAATGAAATCAACATACTCATTCATCTCCCAATCATTAAGATTCCTGACTAGATTTATCCTCCAAACAACAGTACCAAAGGCACAAGAGAAAGACTCTACCATCATGGCATCTTTACTACAAGCTAAAGAATAAATCATGAGAGAGAGAGAGAGAGAGACGTTATCAGTTTGACTCCAGTAAGCTGACAAAGGTCTGCCATTTTCTGTTGAGGACGCATGTCAACAATTGAATGTTGCACCTGATAAACAAATACAAAGATTTCCACAAGCAATAAAATTCTTAAAATCAGCTAGGCGAGGAAGTGAAAAGGAATAAAAAGAATTAATGGCTAATTTGGTTCAGTTACTACTCAGTTGTCTTTAATTACAATATTATATTTGATTCACCATCGAGCCAACTGCATTTGTCCATTGAATTGCATGGAGAAATTTCTGCTCAACTAGGTAAGAAGCACAAATCCATCCAACTTGAATTGAAATATTTTTTTTGGATCTTTGTTGTATTTCTTTTCTATTACTTTTCCTATTCTACTGATTCAGTACTTTTAACAAATGTAAACCAAGTATCACCAAAATGTACCTGATTGCTAACAATAGGAATTCCACTCTCAAGAATTTTCTGTAGCCTCTCCGTATCAAAATTCGTCAAAGCAACTGTCTTGATTTTACCTGCATAACACTTACCGAAAAAGTCGAATCAAATCAAGAAAGAAAGTCATCCTGTCACGGTAAAATAAGAAAAACAAGTTACTAACCTTCCTCCTTAAGAATGGTAAAATAAGAAAAACAAGCTACTAACCTTCTTCCTTCAGATCAGTAAGGTGCTTTAATGCATCAAGGTAACCAGGATTAGAATAATCCCACCTGTCCCAGTAAAATACAGTCTACTGAAGAAATTACTTAAGTAAAAAAATAATAATAAAATTCTGAACCCATAGTTTTCCATAAAAACCCTGCATAAAATGCCTCACCACCCTTTCCCCCAGGCAATGCTAACATCAAACGGTAGCTGCAAACAACAACTGCTAACAATTACAAACATTTTATCTGATCTCATTTACAATCAAAAGAAAGTGAGGTCAGATTGGAAATTTATACATCTTCCACTTCCCTATTCACTCTTGTTGGTCCTTGATTAAATTAAGAGTTCAATTGCAAAGTGTTTCCTGTTCCTTGAGGAACTAACCAAGTAAACAGTTTGTAACTTCCATACTCGCGAATTATACCAAATTACAAAATCTATAGCAGTGAAGAAAAGGGTGTACCAGTGAAATTGAAGCATGTCTAAAGCAGCCACATCCATTCTCTTTCGTGATATATTGATATTTTCCTTGACATAGCCACTGGTCATCTTAACTGGAGGAGGAACCCATTTAGTTAGACTGCATAAAATCATGGAATTATGTAAGAAAATATAAATTTACAATTTTTGCTAAAACATTCTTCCTTCCACATAATTCAGATGTGGTCATAACTAACCCTCTGATCTTTTCCAAGAATTCTGGTGGCCGCTCTCGACGAACTCGATTAATGAATATGCCATAAAGATCTTCGGCAGGTCCATCTACAAAATCAAAGTAGCTAAATAATGAAGAAACACAAGTGCTCAAATTGGGAATGCGGTAGATGTAACTCAGCAAATGCAAAAGGCTTCCAAGGGCAACAGAAATAGATGCTCACACAGAAATACTGCACCACTTACCTAAGATATTTTCAAGACTAAGGACAGATTATAATCAAAGACTAAGAGCATATCTAGTCACTTGTGCATATCTTGCAACAATTTGTCAACCATCATGAAGCCAAATTTGCCAGAACAACCCAACTATAAAACACATGCATATGCATAGAGCAAACCATGACAGAAACATCAACACGCGAGAACAAAATGAAAATCTTCAAGAACAACTACAACCCAAAGCAAGAATCTATAGCAACTCAGCAAGGGCTTTACATATATCAGCCATATCAAAGGTGGTTAATCCAGCATCAGCATATCGAAGCATAGTCTCAACTGCATTGTCTCGATCAATTCTACCCCATCCACCGCTTGTCTGTCACATCCCATTCACAACCCGACATATATCCAATGAGTCCTTCCCATTCTTAACGATAGCACGTCTGTTATCTTCAGTTAGCACACAATGCAACGATCTTGAATGAACCTTTGATCTTCTGATGCCTATTGTAATTTCCAACTTGACTGAGTTAAAGGTGAATGTGTTCAAGGACGAGTTTAACAACTCTGCCACGTCAAAATGACAAAATTAATGAAAGTAATTTTATCCTATCTCCTTCCCGTTTAACCTCTCCACCATTAAGTTCATAAACTCTTCTGGGTTTCTCAATTCTTACTACCTTATTGCTTTTTTGCCTGTAAACTCGGATTTCAAAATTTCTCAATTATTAATCCCTCATCCTATAAAGTTTTTGCGCCCATGCCCCTGGAATAGTCTACCAATAATCCCCCAATTCTATAATTTTCATTTTTCCCCTTCCTAAAATCAATTATTTGACAAGGCAGCAACAGTTATAAGTTACAATATTAGACACAACCCATAAATATATGAAAGCAGAGACCCCTTGGTGCAAATAAAACTCCTTTCTTTGTGGGTATCTCATGCAAACACGTGGTGAAACCAATGCGTAAAGTAGCCTCATCAGCTTGATAACCAGTCAGTTCACTTAAAGGAGTCCACGTGTAACAAAGAAAACAAAACAGGAAAAAAAAACAAAAAACAAAAAACAACAATCAAGGGTTTTGACAAATAGGATTTCAGATATTACAGTGATCGGCCATATCGAAGGTGGAGAGACCGGCGTCGGCGTACCGGAGCATGGCCTCAACAGCGTCGTCTCGGTCTATTCTGCCCCATCCTCCACTAGTCTGCCACATCCCATTGAGGACTCTGCATATTTCCAAGGAATCATTCCCGTTTCTCACAGTAATTCGCCGGGTCCCCTCGCCGGAGGAATCACTGCACTTAATCGATATGGCATTAGGCCTGCGCAACTCCGTCTGAGACCGTGGCCTGAATTTGGAAGGTCTGGAGAGCGTGAGGTTGGAGAGGACGGGTTGCACGGAAATCGCCATTCTCTCTGCAAAGATAATGAAGAAAGGGAAGAACACAGCTTAGACGAAATGGATAAGAGCTCCATTTTGGCGGGCATATCATTTTAATTATTTAGTATGTTCATTAAAATAAAATAAAAAAATTAAAAATTAAAAATAACAATAAATAAAATAAAACATTTATTCTGATCTATAATAAAAAAATAATAATAACAATTAACAATAAATTAATCTATATCATTCATAATTTTTTATTTATTAAAACTAATAATAACTTTAGGAAATAATGTTCATAGAAAATCATTAATTCTCACTCAAAAGAAATCTATAATATTATTCTAATTAATAAATGTTATTTATCATCAAGTTGATTTTTAAATTAAACTCCATTTTTTAATTAATAAATATGGTATGAAAATCTGACTTGAAAATATATAGTATGATCCTAATAAATATCATCCAAAAGAAATCTATAATATCACTTCTAATTTTTAAATTAATACCAGGTCTCTAATCCGATTAATAAATATCCTACGAAAATCTTATTTAAAAATTTGAGATTATCTCCACTTTTCATTTTCAAAAACATTTAATCTTCATTCTTCTAAAAGATTAAAGGGTTAATTATCAAATTAGTTTCAAACAATTTGACACTTATTACAACGAAGTTTTTAATATTTTTTTATAATTTAGTTTTGACATTTTATATTTATTTCAAACACTCATTTTTTTTTATATTTTTAAAATTTTAATTAATTATTTAAATTAATAGTTAATAACTTAATAATAATAATCATATTTTTATTGTTATTAATTTAATTAATTAGTTAAAGTTTTTTAAAACAAGAAATTGAACATTTAAAATAAATAAAAAAATATTAAGAATCACATTATAATAAAGGTTTGTTAACTAATAAGTATTGATGAAAGTCTAAGTAATATCTATAAATCTTTTGTGATCTAAATTCATAATAATTTTTTAAAAAAAATTAGGAAAACGAACAGAAATTAATTAAAAAAAAGGGTAGAAGTAATGAAAAGAACGAGGGAAACTTTGGAGAATAATCACTAAATTGTATTGCTGCCAACATTCTCAAAATATACAAGATGATTTTCTATTTAAGTAAGAAATCTTACCAATACAAGAATCTTAGTTAAGGTAAACTATCATTTGCATACAAAAAGAGTTCTTATTTAAGTGAGGAATCCTACTAATACAAGAATTCTAAATAAGGTAAAATATCAATTGGTTACAGAGAAGTGTGCACATATGTTGTTGTAATATTGTCATTATGTATCTCATCATGAATAAAATGACAATCCACCTCAATGTGCTTTGTGCATTCATAAAAAAACCAGATTAAAGACGATGTGTAGAGTTGTTTGACTATCACAATATAGATTCATAGGTTTAGGATGCACAACATTAAGAAAGTGCAGTATCCTTTTCAGCCATTTGAGCTCATACGTTATAGTGAACATGGATCAATATTCAGCTTCTGTTGATGAACGAGATATGATTTGTTGTTTCTTTATTTTTCAAGAAATAGGCGAACTTCCTATAAGAATGAAGTATTCAATTAAGGACCTGCGTGTCAAACGACAACCTGCCCAATTCGAGTCATAGTAACTGGACAGCTTCAAATCGCAATTGGCTTGTAAGAAGATACCTTGACCTGGATTGCCTTTCAAATACTGCACAACTCTGAGTGCTGCTTCCCAATAGGCCTGCTTCGGTAGGTAAATAAATCGTGCAAAAAGATGAACACAATAAAACAAGTTAGGCCGAGTAAAGAGTAAATAAACAAGTCGTTCAACTAAGTATCTGCAATGAGCAGGATCGTCCATGTCACCACTATCAGTAAGACCCAACTTGTGATTCTATTTAAGAGGAGTTGAAGTCAGTTTTACTCTTAATAAACTGGCTTCAAAAATAAGATCCAGTGTATACTTGTGTTGTCTGAGAAAAATCCTGTTAACATTTCGTGCCACTTCAATACCTAAGAAGTATTTCAGTCTACCAAATCATTCATGTGAAAATACTGATTTAAATAATCTTTAAAATGTTATATCGATGTTCCATCATTGCTAGAGATAATTAAATCGTCAACATAGATAAAATATTTAATTGAATATGCTTATTTCAAAATCTAAATAAAGAATTATCTGAACATGACTAAATGAATCCATATTCCTTTTAAAAAGGAGTTAATCTTGCAAATCAACATCTAGGTACCTAGTGTAACCCGTATAAAGAGTTTCTAAGTTTATATACCTTTTTCGGTTGTTGAGAAACAAAACAAGGTGGCATTTCA